GCTTAAATCAGTGGGTGAACTGATCTAACTAGAGAATGGGTGTAAAAAGATTGTTGGGCCAAATCATTTTTATGTGTGACTTGGCAGTGATGCATGTATGTTATTTACTTAGTTATTCACTTTATAGAGCTGTCCCACTCACAACTGTACATGTGGGTGGAGCACATACGGTTTTTTAAAAAAACAAAGCAAAACAAAAACATACATAGTAAGAAAAATAACAAAACAAACCCAACTTTCCATGCATAAGGAAGCATCTTAAGACCATCTGAAATGCTAATAGGATTACATACTATATGTAATGCCATGTATGATTAAATCTAATACTGAAGGGAAGAGGGTGTCAACATTCTATCTGATTAACTAAAGCATTGATAGGTGTCAGCGTTTCTTGTATCGTTTGTGCATCAGACTACGTTAGACCAGGGCAGCAAACGTGCAGGTGTGCTTGGTAGAGACTACTCTTTTTTTACTTCACTCTTTCCAAGATATATAGAAACTGGTAGATGAAAGAGCATTAATATGCCCAATTTACTCTGATTTTCTTCTGTGTAGAGAAAATGCAATCCGATTTACAAATGTCAGAAACATTGTGGAGAAGTAGAAGAAAATTTCCCTTCTATGCATTAATCTTCTTAATGATAAGAAGTTAATTAGTGGCAGCTTATTCTTTTCAGGTACTTTGTCACTCTGTTTTCAATTAACACTCTATTGTCAAACCAACCTTATCCTGTAATATCTTTAGCTGCCGTCAAATGTGTCCTGCTTGTACTTACACTACCCTTTTATTGAAGGACAGAAACACCAGGAGAGATTATTTTTATCTTTGAGGCCAGCTTTACATAGGAATAATTTGTTGGGAAAAATCTAAATAATAGAGTAAATGAAACCTGTTTCAATTTTGGATTGCTAGATCAAGGAAAATGCACCTCCTTAATTCAGGACACACACATATATAAAGTCTCCTTTTCAGGCTTCAGATACTAATCCCTACTCAACAACGATGTTCCTGAAGTTTTACTTTTTCTTTCTTCTTTTAATGTGATATTTGGCTATTCAAGAACCGTCAGTCTCATCTAAACTATAGTATGAAATCAAAGCAGTCATCTTCATGGAAGCTGTCTTGCAAGTTTGGGCTTTATATTATGTTCAGCAATCAAAGAATGGATCAATGCATCTTGCTAAGCCTAGGCCTGCTTAACTATGTTTTATTAAATAAAGGTAGGTTCACTTATTTTGTGGAATCAGAAATCCTCGTTTGCAAACCACAATGATTGGTTTCATAAAGCACGCTAAGACAAAACAAAACAAATCACAAACCGCTTAGCATGGTGCACTTACCTCGTTAAGTACAATTTTGATTCTCCCAGAATTACACAAATTTGGCCTTCTCACACAAATGAGAAAATTGGGAGCTCTGTTCATCTTAGAATTCCAATGACTTTTTGTTTTGTTTTAACATTTATTTGTAGGTGTGTGTGACCGAATATTTAAACTCAGTTCACATGCTGTCTCTATATCATGCTTTGGTTATATTTTGTGCAATTTCTAAAGTTGACTGGATTCTCACATTTATTTTTATTTATGTACTAATTTATATTTATTTTCATCCTGACTTTATTATTTTTATAAATATCTCAAGGAAGCAAACATACCTAATGCTCTTTCCTCTTCTGGTTTTCCCCCCAACAACCTTATGAGATGAATTGGGCTGAAAGAAAGTGACTCTCTCAGTCACCCAGCTGGTTTTCATGCCTAAAACAGAATTGGAACTCACAGTCATCCAATTCTTAGCCTGGTGCCTTAGTTATTGAGCCAAAAGAGAAATTAGGCTATCATAGATTGGTACGACGTGTGACTCAGCCTTTCGGTAGATACATGCATTTCTATTATTTATCTGTCCATTCATCAAGGGCTTGATTATTCAATTTTGTTAAATCGTAAGTTAGAATCAATAATAGTTTAATGATTCATTATCTCACGGGTGTCAAACTCATGGCATCACATTGCCGTCACGTGAGATTTCGTGATATTTTTTTCCCTTCACGGAGCTGGGGTGGGTGTGGCCTGCGCATGATGCATCTGGCTCACAGGCCGCCAGTTTAACACCTCTGCATTATCTTCATGCTGTTTGGATCCAACATTTTGTGACTTTCTCATTAGAAAAAATGGTAAAAATACAGGTCTTCTCTGTAGCTGCCGTGCCTCAGGAAATCAGCTTTGAAACAATGTGGGAAGTGATGTGGGATGTGCAATAAATAAACACAAAATAAATTCTGCCAATGGAAAACATGGCAAATTCTGAAGTTCTAAGTTAGGGCAACGTTGATGGTATGCAATTGTTAAAGGAAGAAGAGATCAGTCAGAGGAGCAAATAGCTGTGTATTTTCACTGCCTTCTTTGAATTTTCTTTTTCTTCCACGCATCAATTTCCTATACATTTTTAAAACTGTTACTTCAAAACCCAAACCCTCATTCATACCAAACCAAGATAGGGTTATGATTATTATCAGGAAGTTCAAAGATAAGTCCACCAAGTTTTGAAATTGTAATTTATTGCAACACAAGAACTTCAGGCTGAGCGACTTTATATTTTGCCGCACTGCGCTGAGGCCCATTTTCAATATTTGTTCATGACCTATCAAGAGTGAAGTCTTGACCAATTGATATCCCTTCAAAATGCTCAAGGTTACTGTCTTATTTGCCACTTTGGTGTAGTTTAAAAAGACTCCCATCAATTTTGTACACATTCAGCCTTTATATTTGATGGAGATGTATTCCAGTATTCTGTTTTCAGTAAAAGAAAGACAGAATCATTATTCTTCATTTTGTAAAGAAGTACTGAAGAAATTGTGTGTGCACACTTCACACTAAGTTCCAGTATGATTTGCTAGGTCTTGTTTTGTGTGAACTCCTGGTTTATTGTTTAGCATGCTGTATAAATCCAGTTAATTGGATCTCATCTATCAAATTACATCTGTGTAAAATATATAAACCATAGTATAGTACTGTCTAGTTTATATCCTATGCCTTTACCAACATACACAATATATCATTTCCTTTCATTCGATGTCATAGCACTCTACATCAATAGACCGAGAAGTAGTGAAAGACTGCATGGCAGCACTACTACACAACACACCCAACCTAACGAAATACACAAGATCGAAATACCCAGAACCATGAACCTTATCATCCTATGCCTCATTAGTTATTTTCAGTTGGATGGACAAATATACCAACAAATCAGAGGAATGCCTATGGGATCACCACTATCAGGATTCATAGCTGTGTCTAGAAACTATATCACTCCCATGCATACAACCAAAATTATGGATCTGGTATGTAGATGACACCTCTGTCATAATAAGAAGGAAAAGCTAGAGAAGGCACATGAAACAATCAACCACATTTTCAGAAGAATAAAATTAACAAAGGAAGAAGAAAACAACAACACATTATTCTTCTGGATATCGTCATCAGCAGAAGAAATGCCAGCAAATTAGAAATGCAAGTAAAACCACCCATACTAGCCAAGTGTTCCACTACCAAAGTATTAATCTCCCAACCCAATCTCCTACAAGAGAAGCTCTGTAAGAACTTTATTCAGATGAACGCAAACATGCTGTAGCACTCCAGAACACCAGAAAAAGGAAACAGACTGCTTACACAAGATCTCCCACCCATGTAACTTTCTCCACAAGTGCCTGACCACCCAAACTATTACAGCACAACTAATACAAGCTATGAAAAAGATGGCACTGCTATACATAAAAAACCCACAGGAACAGCCATGGGACTATTACAACCACATGGCATCACCATAGCACACAAACCAACTAACCCCTCCAAAACACCTTAGTAAACCAAAAGACCCAGTAGCTCAAAACAAAAAACAATGGAGTCATATACAACAAACTATGTAAGGATAAGCCACTGTGTAGATTTAACTATATTTTCAGTTGGGAAACTCTGAGCATCCTTGACCAAACTAAATCCAAAAATGCAGGACATTCCTGGATGTTTGGCACTCAGACAAATCAGCCATCAACAGGCACATAGAGGTAAACAATATTTACACACAATTCAAAAGAGACAATAAAAAAGCTAGGAAACATAAAGAACCAGAACACTTCATTGCCAGTAATCAACCTAAGTAAGTAGGGATTAACACTAGGAACAACAGCAGACAATCAAACAGAAAATACTCTAATCTAGGAACCAACTTAGACAAACAATCAAGCAGTGAACAATAGCTTAATCAAAGAACCACTAAGGAGAAAACCACACTTCCACCAATTCCACCACATTTCTACCAATTCTGTCAGGGCAAACCATATATAAACAAAGAGCAAACCCTTACTAAATGTTAGCATTGAAGATGTTCCCTAGCTGGATAATGAAAGATCAGCACGAAAACAACCAAGCTCTGAGAGCATCAAGGACCCCACAGTTCAACCCTGAGCTACATATATTCTATTCTATTCAGGGGTGAAATCCAGCAAGTTCTGACAGGTTCTGGAGAACCGGTAGCGGAAATTTTGAGTAGTTCGGAGAACTGGCAAATACCACCTCTGGCTGGCCCCAGAGTGGGGAGGGAATGAGGACTTTGCAGTATCCTTCCCTTGGAGTGGGGTGGGAATGGAGATTCCCCTGGAGTGGGGTGGGAATGGAGATCACGCCCACCAAGCCACACCACGCCCACCAAGCCACGCCCACAGAACCGGTAGTAAAAAAAATTGGATTTCACCACTGATTCTTGAAATGTATCTTCTCTCTGCAGTGGTTCTTATTTGGCACAAAAGAAGCGTATTTGTAGCAATGCCATCAATGTATCACCAGTTCTCTTTTAATACCATCCCCATCTCTGGTTGAAAATGTTTGTTTGTTTATGTCTTCTATGAGGAACTAACTAAGTGTTGTCATTTCATGCTTATTATTCTAGCAAAGTATGGTTCATATGAACGGCATACTAATTTTCTGCATTTATTTTATTCCAGGTTCTTCCATTGAACACTGTAACTTCAGAAATCTTGTTACCTAAGTCAGCAGAATGAAGAGACTCACTACTTATGTATTTAAAACTTCCCTTCCTGGAAAAAATAATTGCTCAAACTCTAGAAATTGATAGGTTGCAGTCAGTCAAAAGCTGTTCTCCAGATCAATATGGATCACTATCCCGTTCATTATTCTCTCAGCTATTCCTGGCGTCGGTATTTCATCATTTTCTACTTTTGCTACGGTTGTCTGCTTCTGTAATTATTTCTGCATAAAATTTGTTGTGTATTTCATTCAGTTCCATAAAAATGCCGGGAGAAAAAAGATTTTCAATGGTTAATCAATTATGAGTGGGTGCTGACAAGTTGGGGAAAGGGGAGTTGAATGAAATTGATAACTGAATAACCCTTGTTGTCTATTCTGCTTAATTAAATTATTGAAATCTTGTTGCAAGGCTTGTGTCCTTGTATTTTAAAACCTTATTTGATTTCTTTGCCAGAAAAAAAAATTGCCTTTATATAAAGCAAATAATCTCATATAAATTCATTTCCCGAGTTCTCTTGTCCAATTTTTTTGTTGCTGTTCCTGCCCTTGTTTCAAGAGATGTGAAAATACTGCCTGGCAAAATAGTTTCGTTGTAATGTGGGAAAAAGGTTGGGACAGAATCCAAGGTCAGCAAAGAGAGTCTTTGGACTTTGCCCAAAACTATTTCTCTAACCTTTTCTTGTGAACGGTGTCATATTATTTAAATGTCTAATGAAAGGAGACAACTGCTTGGAATGGAAAGCAGCTTAGAATAAATGCTTTTTTCTGAAGAAGTTAAGCTGCCAGCATCATTCATATCTGCATGGGTGGCTTAACTTTGTGTTGTTGAAAATAGTCCACCTTTCAGATGTGTAGATTGGAATTCCCAGAATTGCTAGCAAAGGCCATAGTGGTTGGAGAATTCTGGGAGTTCCGTACATCTAAAGGGTACCCAGGTTGACGAAACTATCATAAATCAAGATGGCTTTGTCCTTACGTTGCAATAAGCTATAAGCAAGTAAACCACTTGGAATTTTGTAATAAGGTAATGTGTGCTACTAATTCGATTCCTTGGGAACTGCAAAACGGTATCTCTTCTCTCAGATGGTTCCCTGTGGAAAAAAGCTTCTAGTGCTGGTTCTCACAAGAAATTGGGAAATCTTAAATTTTCATGTTAAAATGAAATGCCAAATTTGATTTCCAAGATTGCTTAGAAGAAAATGTTAAGTGATTATGTTTTTATAATGATTTCTTTCGGTATACAGTGAAGTGTCTATAGGAGTCAAACCAGGGGTGAAATGCTCCCGGTTCAGACCGGATCGCCTGATCCGGTAGCGATGGCGGCGGGTGGTTTGGAGAACTGGTAGCAAAAATCCCTGCGCCCCCCCTCCACTATGCCCAGCTGAGCCGCACGATCATCAGAGGCTTTTTTTTTTTAAAGCATTTTTTCTACAACTTCTTCTGCTGAAAAAATGCTTTTAAAAGTAAAAAAAAAAGCCTCTGATGATCGTGCGGCTCAGGTGGGATTGTCAGAGGCTTTTCAAAGCATTTTTTTCTGCAACTTCTTCCGCCAAAGAACTGGTAAAAGAAATGCTTTGAAAAGCCTCTGCCGATCAGGCAACACAGCTGGGATCGTCAGAGGCTTTTCAAAGCATTTTTAAAATCATCTCTTCCGGTGAAGAGGTTGCAGAAAAAAATGTTTTAAAAGCCTCTTTGACGATCCCAGCTGAGTTGCCTGATCGTCAGATAGGCTTTTAAAAAAATATCTGACGATCAGGCAACTCAGCTGGGATCGTCAGAGAGGCTTTTTAAAAAATGCTTTGAAAAGCCTCTCTGATGATCAGGCAACTTAGCTGGGATCGTCAGAGAGGCTTTTTAAAAAATGCTTTGAAAAACCTCTCTGATGATCAGGCAACTCAGCTGGGATCGTCAGAGAGGCTTTTAAAGCATTTTTTTTCTGCAACCTCTTCACCGGAAGAGGTAGTTAAAAAAATGCTTTGAAAAGCCTCTGACGATCCCAGCTGTGTTGCCTGATTGGCAGAGGCTTTTCAAAGCATTTTTTTTGCATTTGCAGAAAAAATGTTTTGAAAAGTTAAAAAAAAAAAAGTTGGCCACACACACCCAATCACATTACCACCACCACCACCCCAACCACCAAGCCAAGCCCACAGAACCGGTAGTAACAAATTTTACATTTCACCCCTGAGTCAAACTCAAACCCCGTGTGCCGGATCCGGCCCGTGGAGTGCTTAGATCTGGCCCACAGGGCGGCCCTCAAAACAGCAAAGGACCGGCCCCCGTGGCCTCTGCCAGCTAGGAGTCAATCTGGTATAAGCCCATTGAATAGTAGAACAAGTTTGCTAGCATTGATTAATTGAATTATATCTCAGTCATCAAATTCTAATAGCAACTTCAGAGACTTAGTACACATATTACACCAAGATGTAGGTTCTATTTAGATGATTCATATATATTGTTATGCCAGAAACTATGGCTAAGAAACCCAGGCTTGTTAATTCTGCCCAACATAATAAAGCCAATGTAAGAAAATCCACCTGATGATTTAGCACAATGTGAAAATGTTCAGATAAAAATCCCATTTTTCAAAACCTTTATTCTTCTCTTACTGCTGCTGCTTTTCTAGCTGTCTATTACACTACAGCTACTTGCTATTGATTTGTGTTAAAAAAATTTCTGTTTATGCCACTTTGGATAATTTTGATTGGAAAGGAAATACAATATAAATAAATGCCACAACCTGTCAATGCCACAATCGGTAAACTAAATACCAAGCTTTCCCACAGATCTTTTTCAAGGAAAGTTTGGATCAATACACTGGGAACAAAATATTGATCTCTTCTCTGTTTTCTAGCTTTGGCTCTCATGTATTTTATAAGTTTTATTATATCCTTGCACAGTTGAATGAAGTAATAATAGCCATAGTTTGGACACATCAAGAAGAACTGGCTTCTATAGCAAGTATAAGGAAATGCTCTTATGTAAAAAACCAAGATATTAAGATATGGAATAATTCCATGTTATTCCAAGAAAACCCAACGCTATAACAAAAATATAAGAAGGCTTTACAATTTTCCAAACAATTAACAATAAACCCGTCTTTTTTTGCACACAAAAACACATGGAAATATGGAAAAACAATTCAGTCATACGTTCTGGAGAACTATAGCAGTAGTGGGTTTCAAATTTTTTTACTACCTGTTCTGTGGGTGTGGCTTGATGGGCATGGTGTTGCTTGGTGGGCATGGCTTGGGTGTGGCAGGGGAAGGATATTGTAAAATCTCCATTCCCACCCCACTTCAGGGGAAGGCTACTGCAATGGGGGGTGGGGGGCCCGGGGTCAAGAGGGGGGATAAAGTTCATCCAGATAAGGTTTTTACCATCAGTACTGTGGGTGGGAGGGGTAGATATGGCGGGAGCAGGGGGCCATATCGTGTTAGGGGAGCGCGCGCCCGCTGTCTTCGAGCGGTGGCGCGCTCCGGCCCCCAAAGCTCCACTCGTTTTCCAGGTGGCGCAGATCCTCAGGGCCCTGGCCTCCGTCTGATGTTATGCAATGCCAGGTCTGTAGTAAATAAAGCCCCCCTCATTTGTGATCTTGTTCAGGAGGGGGGAGCGGACCTGGCAGGTATTACGGAAACCTGGTTGGGCCAAGAGGGGGGGTCCCTCTTGTTGAAATGTGCCCACCAGGTTTCCGCGCATTCCATCAGCCGAGGTTGCAGGGTAGGGGCTGGGGGGTAGCGGTTATTATTAATGAAGGTCTGAGACCGAGGGAGGCCACTGTTCCTCAGACGGCTGGCTGTGAATCCCTCCTTGTGAAATGGGGCCACGGGGTTCAGATGGGTTTGCTGATCACATACCTGGCTCCCTGCCATGTGGCAGCAGCCCTGCCCGAGCTACTCAGTGTCATCGCCACGGTGGCGGTTGAGACCCCTAGGCTTATGGTCATGGGGGATTTCAACTTGCCGTCCGTTGGTGAGGCATCTGAGGTGGCTCGGGAGTTCATGGCTTCCATGACAGCCATGGACCTGACCCAGTTAATTCATGGCCCTACCCACACGGGGGGAAACACGCTGGATCTGGTTTTTGTCTCTGGACAGTGGTTGAGTGATCTCGAGATAGGGGATATAGTCACCGAGCCCTTGTCATGGTCTGATCACTCTCTCCTTCGTCTCGACCTTCGAACCGCTACACCCCGCCGCAGGGAGGCGGAGCCGGTAAGATGGTTCCGCCCCAGGCGCCTGATGGAACCGGATAGGTTCCAGATGGAGCTTGGGCCATTCCCTGAGGATCTGGCACATGCCTCGACTGGAGACCTAGTGGCCGCCTGGGATAGGGCGGCCGCTGGAGCTCTGGATCGGGTCGTGCCTTTGCGGCCTCTGACCCGGCGCCGATCTCATTTAGCTCCTTGGTTCACTGAGGAGCTGAGGGAGTTGAAGCGCCGGAAAAGACGCCTAGAGAGTAGTTGGAGGGCCAGTCTTTCTGAATCTGACCGGACACTGGTAAGAGCCCATATTAGGAATTACCTAGTGGCGATAAAAGCAGCGAAATGTAGCTATTTTGCTGCTCTTATTATGTCATCAGATAATCGCCCGGCCGCCCTGTTTAGGGTGACCCGCTCCCTGCTCCACCAGGAAGCGCGGGAGGACCCCTTAGAGGGTAGAGCCGAGGATTTTGTTCAATATCTGTATGACAAAATCGCTCAGATTCGGGAAGATCTGGACTCCGACTGGATAGTCTCAGGGGGAGGGACTGGGGCAGGTCTTGAGAATGTTATCTGGGATGAGTTTGATCCTGTGATCCCTGAGGACGTGGACAGGATTCTGGGTAGACTGAACGCGACCACTTGTTTATTGGACCCGTGTCCCTCCTGGTTAGTGCTGGCTTCTCAGGAGGTGACACGAGGCTGGTTCCAGGGGATTATAAATGCTTCGCTGGGTGAGGGTGTCTTTCCTGCCGCCTTGAAAGAGGCGGTGGTGAGGCCTCTCCTCAAGAAGCCTTCCCTGGACCCGGCAATGTTGGTAAATTATCGTCCGGTCTCCAACCTTCGTTTTGTGGCGAAGGTTGTTGAGAGTGTGGTTGCGCAACAGCTCCCCCAGCACCTGGATGAAACGACGTATCTGGATCCGTTCCAGTCGGGCTTCAGGCCCGGGTACAGCACGGAAACGGCATTGGTCGCGTTGGTTGATGATCATCAACTGGAGGGCTCGGGACAGGGGGTGCTCCTCTGTCCTGGTCCTGTTAGATCTCTCAGCGGCTTTTGATACCATCGACCATGGTATCATGCTGCACCGGTTGGAAGAGTTAGGGGTGGGAGGCACTGTGTTGCGGTGGTTCTCCTCCTTTCTCTCTGACCGGTTGCAGTCTGTGTTGACAGGGGGACAGAGGTCGACCCCGAGGCCCCTCA